GAACAGCCTTTGCTGGAGGTGTCTTGTAGAAGATATAACATATTGATAATAAAGAAAGTGGTGTGTAATTGTGTTAGTGTGTCAGCATGTGGTTTTGGATAAAGAGAGGAAAGTTCTCTTAGAAAACAGAATGGACTATGTTTGAATGTTTCCAGTAGAACCTGGCACATAATTGGGACTCTATGAATATGACTGTGATGATCATCTTGGAAAAGCTGGTTTAAGAGATGCGTGCTGAGATGGTAAAAAGTAGCATGTTGGTGAGGATTTGAGCCCAAGAATCAAATTAGTTGTTGTAGTAGATTGACAACTGGTGGGCAACTAGTAACATACAGCTGAACTGAATCAGCAAGGTGTTGGGTGTGGGAGGCCCACCTGAGGATTTTGCCAGCAGCATAAGAGGCAGAACTGGAGAAGAAGAAGAGAAGCTGTTGGTTCTCCTGAGGACATTGTCATGCTGGCTTCCCTGATGAACTCAGCTGTTATCATCAGCGGAGCTTGGGATCTTGTTGCTGAGGATGGAGGAAGTTCACTTTGGGGGAGCTCTGGTCCTTACTTTGAGCATCACTTCCTGGCTTCTGAGGGGAAGATGGTGCACTGTTCAGTCTCCTGGAGATGCTTATTGCTCTGGCTTTCCTCATAGGAGCTTGGCTGTTCTTGTCATTGGAAGAGCTTGTGACATCACTGTCATTGAGAATGGCTGAAACCCTTGGGGGAACTCTGATTCTTACTTTGAGTGTTGCCTCCTGGCTCCAGTGCAGATCTCTCAGCCTGCTGGCACAGATCCTTCATCCTGCTGGAACAGACTTTCTAGCCTCCACTACTGACCTTTGGGCCTTCCCAGTGCAGATCCATGAAACAGCCTTGCATGGGACATTGTCTTGGGCTCTATGCCTCCAGCTGGACTTGTTGGGAGCATTGTCATGGGCTCTAGGTCTTCAGCTGGACTCATACAGGACATTGCCAAAGTGGCCCTCAGCTGGATTCTTTGGGTTTGTAGTGTTTGGACAGATTCCTGGAACCCTCTTTGTATATGATTGAATGACTATTGTCATTCAATCGAACTTTCTTAAAAAATTCTAATCTTGTAAATTGTGTGTCCTGTATTGTTCCCCTTGCAAAACCCCAAACAATGATAGTTGTCATGATGTCATTTTCTTGGTCAAAGAGAAAATGAGGGGAAAAGCATTTTTAATATACTGAATGGGGAGCATTTCTGTTAGTTACAAAAATGCTTAGTTCTTGCTGGCCTACTTTGACCCTTAGAGAATCAGAACTGAAAACTTATACTATGATGTTGCTATAAGATAGATGAAAAATATGAAGTTGATTAATTTAGCCTCACTGACTGTACAAACTGATCAATTCATTGGCATATATAAGACTTTGTGAAGGCACTGAGGTTTAGATGTCCAGTTTTTAATGCTCGTGGGGCATGAGTAAACAATGTTCTATCAGCAGATCTAGCTGAAATACTCTTGGCAGGGTTAGAAGTGGGTGCAGTCAGTCATCCTAACTGCAAAGTTAGCATCATTCATGTAGTAATCTCAGTCATGGCTGCACATTAGAATCAGCTGGAAACCTTGTAAAATACCAACCTGGGAGCCTCATTGTAGAATAAAATCTCTGTGGGTACCAGATTGGGTGCCATTTTTTTTTTTCCTCAAAAGTTCTCAGGTGATTTGCATACATGCTAGGGTTAAAAACCACTCATTTAACTCAACAGGGAAAAAGTGAAATTCATCAGACACTTTGATTTTCTTGATTTATTGAGGTATACTTGCCAAGTTAAAATTGTATGTTTTGTGGTGTACAATGTGATACTTTGAAACATAGTGAAATGATTACCAAAATCAAGCTAATTAACATATCCACAACTTCACAGTTACTGTGTGTGTGTGTTGTGTGTGTTGAGATCTCTCTTAGCAAATTTCAAGTAGATGATACAGTGTTATTAACTATAGTCACCATACTGTGCATTAGGTCAAGAATTTATGCATTCTAAATAACGGAAACTTTGTCCTCTTTGACCAACATCTCATTTCCTCTATTCTCCAGCTTCTGCTAACTCCAATTCGACTCTCTGGCTCTAGGAAGTCAGCTTTTTAAGAATGCATATAAAAGTAAAACCATGCAGTATTTGTGCTGTTGTGCCTGACCTGTTTCACTTAGCACAGTGTCCTCCAGATTCATCTATGTGACATCAGACATTTTTTTTTTTAAAATTTTTATTTTTTTTTTGTTTTTTCTCCGGTACTGGGAATCGAACTCACGACCTTGCGCTTGCCAGGCAGACGCTTTGCCGCTGAGCTAAATCCCCAGCCCCCATCAGACATTTTTTGATAGAGAAAACCTGTTTGATGACTAACCTAGAATTAAATTCCTTTAATCTGGGCTTAGAATATACTGTAAACTGTATTACTATTTTAAGAAATATACTGACCCATAATAAAGAGACATTATTCAATAAAGGAGAGGAGTTTACATCTGTTAAAAAATGAGGCTGTGCATGAGTGATTTTTTATATGTGGCTGGAGTTATGTTTCTTTAGGCCTATATGATTTTTTTTGTTTTTTTTTTT